TGCAGCCGGCAGCCGCGGATCATGCTAACGTCACCCAGGTCAAAACCACAGCGCCGAAACAGTATGTCTCTACTACCGACTTCGATTGACTCCGACACGGCATGATACTGATTCCGCGTTTGCGCTTAGGTATTGCGTCAGACCCAACTCGGGCCGTGTCGAGCCCAACCGCGAGGTGGAAGTACAAGGTGAGCACGTGTCAATTCACCTGCATGCGACCTCAACTAACCCACAGCCAGTCATCCTCCAGGCCATGAAACAAGAGCCTCCTTCGGGGGCCAAGTGCAAGGACAAGTTCTTGGTGCAATCCGTTGCCATCAGCCCCGAAAAGGACTTCTCCAACCTCGCTTCCATTGTACGGTCGACACCAATCCTCCTGGGACGCTTCCCGCGCTAACAAAAAGACAGTGGGATACGATCGACAAGTCCTCGGTAGTGGAGAAGAAGATCCGCGTCGCATTCCTCGATCCCAAGAGCTCTCCCAGTGCCGATGCTCCCGCCGCCATGTCCACGCCGATTAAGAATACAGCAGTGAATGTTGGTGTATGTTATCTTGGTTGCACTAGGGGGAAGCCGCGCGTCGAGATACTGACATGACCGTGGTTACAGAGCGAAGCAACGCCAGAGGTATCTTCTGCGGCCTTTTCATCACCGCGCAACGATGACGCCGCGCGATCCGAACCCAAGTCCTCGCTCGACGAGGAACCCCTCGTCGAGAGCTCCGACGCGCCTGTGGCCGCTGCGGCCGCTGCCACAACTAGGTATCTCGAACCGAGCCGCGAAGAGCCCAAGGTTGAGAGGAAGATCGCGCAACCTAAGGAAGACGACAGCGGATTGCGACAGCGAAAGTCGACAACGGGCGTCACAGCAGATGAGAAACCGCTTGCTAAGCCCGTAGAACAACTTGCGCAAGTGGCGCGTGGTGGCACCGAGGGCGTGCCGATCCATTACACGGCGGCTCTCTGTCTTCTGAGCTTCCTGCTCGCCTACTTCTTCTTCTAGCTGTGTGCATGAGAGGCATGAAAGGTTGTCTGTGATCGATCGATCTGGGAGCAGTGAGATCGTCACGGAATGCCACCTACCAACTGTCAGCCAATACGCTATGTCGCCATCCATACGCTACCGATAGCAAGGGCTGGCTGCACGGGGTAGGGGAGTATATGTGATGAAGTGATAAGTGATATTCCGCCTGCGAATGGCAACGCCCTGGGCCCTCTTGAGTACTATTCAGTACCCCAGGGTTCGCCTCCGAGCGAAACATGGCGAATGAGCCAGAATCGGATATGTGAACGCATTGGTGTTGTAATAGAGAGAAAAGGGGGGAGAAAGTGATGGATAGGTGATGGGCGGTTTTACAGGACAGGAACTTTATTTGGGCGAGCAATGGCATGTCTTACCATATCGTCACAACAGACTATCACTCTGTACTTTAGCAACGCATGCACGTCCTTTTGTAAGTTGCTGTTCGAGAGGAGCATGTATATGAATACTTTGATACTGTCTTCTCTGTCTCCTAGCTCATCAATGTGAACATGAATGCTCGCGATACCTGGTCTCGTCTTGAGGCGACATTTTTCAAGTAAGTCGACAGACCATAGAGTGTCAAGTACGTCCACACACACACAGTTTTTTTCTTGTTTGTTCAGCTTGTTTCTTTATCATTACTTTCGCCAACCTAAATTTCTACCCCAACGCCAAAACGCCATCAGTGCATGATAATTGTACATCATGGACAGATATTCTGATCAGCCCGCTCAGTTCTAATGACAGACATGGCTCAGATGGCAGGTACTTGCGATGCCTAGTTCTCTAATCGTCTACTGCACAGCAGCTGTATTTCCCATGCCAAACCCATGGGCACGTCTATTTGACCAATACCTGACCTTGCCTAGTCGCAACTCTGAGCTAGTGGCTATTTATTAAGTCCAAGTCCTATGATATAAGACACGCTCACGGTAGGTAGTGTCAAGTCTATCTCTATAGTACTGTGGTATATACGGGGAAAGAGATCAAGACTCCAGCTCGTCGTCCTTCCACTGCTCGACGGGCTGCTTGTTCTTGCCGGTGCCGGCGCCGGCGCCCTGGCCGACGAGGCGGCCGCCCTCCTTGCGCTTGACCCGGCAGCGCATTCCGACAGTCTCGTCGAAGATGAAGCGCCAGAGCACGTAGGTCCAGGAGGTGTGGTGGGGCAGGTCGGCGTAGAACTCGCGGGCGATATCGTGCAGGCGGTGCAGGCGGGTCCAGGGGACCGCGGGGAAGTCGTGGTGCTCGTTGTGCAGGCCGACGTTGTACGTCAGGAAGTTCAGGGGCCCGTAGTAGCTGAAGGTCTCGGGCACGGGGATCCCGTTCGTTGGGTCCGCCTGCGTCGGCGTAACGGTGGAGTAGACGTAGTGCTCGGCGATGAAGTGGCCCGCCAGGGGGTGCAGGCTGCCGGCGAGGAAGGACGACAGGATGAAGTATTTCAGCGACTGCACGCCCAGCGCGCTGAGGACGACGGCGTCGAAGGACAGCTGGACGCCGACGTTGAGGGCGGAGACCCAGGTGAAGGGCACGCGGTAGACGGTCATGGGCCGCAGGGCGTAGAAGAGGATCTGGAAGGTGCAGAAGAAGGCCTTGCCGGCGATGGAGTCGAGGAAGACGGCCTCGAGGGCGGTGGGCAGGTCGGTGTCGAGGCCGTCGACGCCGAGGGACTTGTGGTGGGTCAGGTGGTAGGGGCGGAAGGAGGCGCTGTAGGGGATGCCGATGGGCAGGTTGGCGAAGATGGCGAGCAGGCGGTTGGCCGTGGGCGAGCGGAAGGCGAGGTTGTGGCTGATCTCGTGGATGGCGAGGAACAGGTTCTGGTTCGCCGTGGCGCCGACCACGTACGCGAGCGCCCAGAAGCGCAGCGAGAAGAAGGCCGTGTCGCGCAGCAGCCAGGCGCAGAGCACCTGGATCGACACCACGAGCAGCACCACGTACTTGGTCAGCGGCTCCGGCCCGCAGAGCTTCGTGACCTGTGCGAGAGTGTGTCCCCCTGGTCAGCGATGGAGGGTGGGGGAGGGACTTGGGGGGTTGGGCTGTGTGTTGCGTACCTCGGGATGGGCTTTGATGATCTCAAGGCGCCGAGTGCGGTGCGGCTCCTCCGTGTAGGTCCAGAAGAAATCTTTGTACTTGATCTCGAGAGGGTCGCGCTCGAGCTCGAGCTCGTCTGGTTTGTCGTCGACGGCATTGACGCGGATGGTCTTCCCCGTCTTGGGTGCTCTGGGAGCGCTCGTCACTGTTGAAGCTGCCGAAGGCGCCATAGTCTTTCTCGTCGTGGTTTTGCACTCGTAGTTGTTGTACTTCTCGTCGTTCCGTTTTTCTCTCTCTCAAAATCCCCCGCTTGTGTTTCGTAGCGATGGTAGTGTCAGCGAGTGGTGACAAGACGGGAGTGTCGAATGAGTGATGTTAATCATGCAAATATCTAAAGCTTGAAGACGAAATGCTGTGTATATCGCCCCTTCTCGCCTTCCCCCACACAGCTCTCCAATTGCGGTGAAAGAAATCTGGCCACCGACAGCGTGGATCGAAAGTGGGATGGATCCAGAGCTAGGCCCCTAGGTTGCGGCGAGGGACCGAAGGTGTGTACCTGACAGGGGGTCTAGCCTTAGATAGCTTTTCTTTACCCTTTCGGGCATCGAGTATCTCCCAATTGACCACTCAGCGCAACGCATTCCCTGCGTCGTACCACTGTGGGGGAGCCAGCACTAGATCGGCACCTTGGAGAGGGACTTGGGCCAGGCACCTTGGGGGGGCGAGGGGGCTTGGTTAGTAAGAATCGACTCAGGGTCTTCGGCTGCGCCCAAATGGCATATGCAACGCCTGAGTATTCCCAAACTTGGATGCCCCTTGGATAGGATTCGCTCTGCTAAAGCTATATCCTTCTAGTAACTCCTTTTCATAAATATACAACTACAGTAGTTGCATATATTCTTATGTTGCCGTCCTTTTTCGGCAGAGGAGAACAGGAGTGCACGGTAATCAGGGCAAACAACAGGATTAATTTCTCGCTTGATGTTGGTTTCCATATGTAGTACTAAGCGGGCTTTGCTCATTGTAGAACGGAGTTGATATAATGTCAACAACAATATCTCAAGTGAGAGCCTAGAGCAAAAATCAAATCACCCGATTCTGAAAGCACATCCTGATACAAAAATGTGCTTCTAACAAATTCGACATTCATTGTCAACAGTCAACAGTCAACAGTCAACAGTCAACATCACTCAGGCTCTCAGCATGTTGTTTAGTCTGTAATACTTTTATGGCGGCAACTTACTAGGTGGGAATTTATCCATTCGTGTAGCCAAGATATTGCCCCTCGATCTCCTGAAATGACAGTCTGATACAAGAGATGTCAATTTGGTTCAAGCGAATTCCAAGATGACTGTTGTTATTCCATAACGTCAAAGGAGGGCTTGCCATACTCCAGTGTCCACGCCCACGTCCTCACCGCACAGAGGTATTTAACGTGACATGCTCTACCTATACAAGTACATAGATACGACTCCAGATCATGCCTCAGGGGCTCAACATTACATGGCCCGTGGCCTCTCCCTCTATATCCACCGTGCCTTATTCGACCCCCTTGAGATACCGCTTCTCCATGCGCTCGAACCGAACTCCCAAGATGAAGTCCATGGAATCCAAATTTTATTGGTTTCAATCTCTGAAAACCCTTTTAAGTCTGTTCATGCATGGTGGCTGTTTGTTTAAAATAATAGAGTCTTCTGTCCCAGGCAGTCTCGAAAGGCTAAATTTGACTCTTGGGGGGGTTCTCAACCTGGTGACGTAAAGTTCACTGTCAATATCGCGCAAACAGCTTCGCAATAGTTCTAGCTTGCAAATATAGCCATGATGGTGCCTTTTTTCGTGACAAGACGAATACGGAAGGAATATACTAAGACAAGGAGATACGATCACATCGCTGGTTCGCTCTTCATCAGTGAAATTTGAGCCCGCTGTGACATCGCCTTCCACAATCCGGTCCTATAGCTCAGTTGGTCAGAGCGTCGTACTAATACTCATGATTATTCATAGTATCGGTAATGCGAAGGCCGTGAGTTCAAGCCTCACTGGGACCAGCATGTTATCTCTTTGCTACTTTTTGATTTTTGCAAATAGACCATGATGTGGTGGAGAACCCTTCGGAGCCGGACATGTACCCTAAGGGTTTGCGGAGTTAGGTGGGAGACAGCTACGTAGTCATGCAGATGAAACAGATATACCAAACTCGAATTCGTTTTGTCCCTCTTATAAGAGATATGGAATTCTCACGGTATTGTCTGGAACTTATCATGGGACATCTGCCAGCCCTATACCGGCGGAAGGGGTCCAGCATGTGGAGCATTTTTTAGTGCAAAAGTAGTCCTTAGTTCGTGATAAATGTACTCCGTACTGCAGGTTGGTAGGCATATTCCTGGCGTAAAAACATTGGGTAGCCTAGTTCTCACTGCACCCGAGTCAGGTAGCATGTGGCCTCAAAATAAAACATTTACGTGTCCCTTGGGTCTACGAGGCAATTGTTCCGCCACGGTTTTGTGGCAGTTTACTTCTTGTCGTCTCCTGACCTACTCACCTTTTGAATATGTTGCTGGCGAGCGGATGAGGTCTAATTTCCAGAACCATGGTTACGTAATAACCCTAACTACTCTCCAACCTGGTTCCATGCTATACCACGCATCATATGTTTCTTGGGGTACCTGACCTATGTCATTTGATGCCTGGGGGACGTTATTCTGATTCAAACAACCAGTCTCGATCATCAATTCGTTTCAACCTATTGGAAAACAATACAGAGCATATTATTGCCTAGCCCAGCCATGATGTCTTAGATTTTGGATTACCACGTGTGGTCAAGTCTTCTCTTACACTGGGCCAAAGGAAATGCAATGGTCAGGAGAATCATGGAGAAGCCTCAAGATCCAGCATCATGTCTTGGGATAATTACATGTCTGGGGATATCCGCCATGCCTCAATGTTGTGTTCCTAGTTTGGCCAGATGTAACAACGTTCAAATGGCGACACAATTCTCATGTCTCATGGATAAAGCCTCCAAGATAACATTACGCGTCAACAACACTGATGATTCGTTGAGTCTGCAACTATATCTAGACAACGAATCTAGACCAACGAAATCTACGACAGTGGCAGAATATTGGCTGCAAGCAATCTCCATGCGGCAACTTACAGCCCCATAAACGAATAGGTCTCGAGAGTGAGTATCTAAACAAGGACAGCAACAGTGGGGCGGGCTTGAGTTCGGATGGGACGAGATGGTTCGACAAGAGTCATGTTATAGGTGACGAAGCGGCTCTTGGTTATGACTTCCGCTCGGCAAGAACGGAGCTAATACGTAGGACTTGGAAGCAGCGGACGTGCAATATTGCTTCTGAGTGACGTGGTTCGGCGCGGATGGGTACTTTCGGATGGCAAGGCGTATTGGCAAGGCGTACTGGGCGGAATGCCTACTACGTATGGTAAGTACGTAGGCAGGCTGTGCTGTTGTCGTCTCCAAGCAAAGTTTGCTCCATGCCGTGATGAATATGTACTATTTTGTTAGAATACGAGCCAAACTACAAGGTTAGCCAAATAAAATATTATGGTGAGACCGTGCTGCATTTTCAACTGAAGTGAGGTTGACACAATTCAGATCAAGCAGACTAAGTTGGTGAACAACGACTGCATTTATTGGGATGGCTGGGTAAACAGGAGCGAGCATCTACTAATAATACAGTCCTGCGTAATGAACAAGGATTGTGCTTACTGCCTTATCTCATCCCTGACATTTCGAGATTCTTGGGTATCATAGTCTAACCTGTAGGGGGATAAAGAGCCTTGGAAACTTGCTTTGTATTGGCCCGGAAGCTGACGGACAATCATGTGGTCTTAAACTTGCTGTATGTATGTATGCTGACATACATTTCGCAATGGGTTCCGTGTGGTGCTTTTCTTTAGCCAGCTATATAATTATTTGCATAAGAAAATGTTGCTTTTGGGTCTGCCAGCACTCGACGGAAGTGTTCCGAGCGCGCGACCACTGTTCTGATTTTCATGCCATAGGAGTTGTCGCGGGAATTGTCCCGTCCTGGCGCGATTAAAGCCCCCATGCTAGGTCATTACCCACGGATGTGAATGAGAAGGCTATGATATCATCCCCTTATCATGCAATTGCTTAAGCTACCCGCGGTGACCGACTGAAGAAACATGTGCGTCGTATTCCCGATTGCATGGCTTTTTGATAAGAAACCCAAGCCTCTATTCCTTTGGGTGGGCCTGGGACGCAAGGAGGAGGAGCAAGACCTGCATATGAGGCTGGTGCAGCTTGCCCCGATGATGGATTCACATCGACTTCGCTGCTTTTGCCCTCATACATGGCCCCCAGGTGTACGTTGGGGCCAGACTGTAACACCATGGTCGGAGTCGCACTCAACGAGTTTACCTTTTCTTTCGGTTCATTCAAGGTTCGTTGGCCAACGATGTCTCCGCCGTATTCCATACTTTCGAACCTAGTTGCGGGGTCGAAACTAAGCAACACCAAAGCCTTCTGTTCTTTGGAGTCCACGCTATCTGCCGCTGCGTAGATTATAGAGCGATCGTCACCATCTGCAGCCACCACGCAATAACGCTGCCCGTCGCCTTTGAGTAGGCGCTGAACCTCGTCCAAAGAGGGGTCTGGCCCCAATGTCTCTTGCTCCGGTGGCCAAATATATATCGTATTGGCTTGTGAAGGCTGCATTGATGGTTGGTTAGGGTCTTCGCTGGGGGTCCGTGTCTCATCCAATGCCGACTTTTCCATTACAATGCGTGATTCCGGCTCTAGTCTCCTGTAGCCAGTCCGGAGACGTAGCTGCCCGTGATCGACTGAACCCATGGATGTATCCTCGATCAGATCAACGAAGGTATGGCAGGATCGAATGTATGTGCTGAAGAACGTCTTGCTACGCACCAGTAGTGAAGCAACAGAGCTGTCGTCTCCCGCGTGAACATAGTCGGATCGTCGGGATGGAATAGGGGTATCGCTTTGTGGGCGGTCACCTATTCTCCTAGCTGTGGCGGCTCTAACCCTTTCCTGACCCTGCTGAATACTCTGCTGGCAAAATACGACCTCGGTAGTGTAGTACATGCGGTAGCTCGTGCTTCCGCCATTCAGCCACTCTTTCCTGCACTCCAGGATGACGATGCTGCCGTTGGATTCGTCCTTCTCCAGCGAGAGAAATCCCCAACGCTCGTCAAGCGGGCCTTCTGAGTGCATTCTCCTCCAGCTATATTCGTCGTTCATGACTTCCATGTTTTGAACAATTGGAGTATTCAGGGGTACTCGGAAACAGTAGTAATGGGATGTCCAATCGGGATTGTCGGCTTCAAAAAGACGTTGATTGGAGAGACCATAGAGATAGCCGCCAAAGATCTCGAAACAAGCTGTCGACCCTATGTCGGATCCGGCCATGTCTGAAAGATACAAGCCGGGATAGTCAAAGTGAGAACACTTGTCGAGATCATAGCCTTTCAGGACCCATTTTCGGAAACCATCAGCTCCCGTCAAAGAGTGTGTGCCATAATACAGATAATCGGCGTTGTTTCTGACGAATAGCTTTCTTGTAGAAGGTAGGAGTATCCCATCGATGACTTGCTGAGTTTGAGGTTTGAAGATAAGAAGCCAGTGCTCTGTATGGGGTAGAGCGAAAGAGTACAGGCAGCTCACAATCCCTTCTGCTTGGTAGAGAATTTTGAATTTATACTTACGGCACTGAATTGCTCTCACAAGGACACTCTCCGGAAGGGATGCACGTATAAGCATGGGAATGCTTACTGCTAGCTCCCAGTCGGTCGGCCCATGCACGTCAATCATCCGAAGCCAGCGGTTTGGGCTTAGGCTTGGGCTTGCATCGATTGTTGTTATGTAGCACAGTTTCCCACCGAGGAATTTGTACGATTCAGCCCGAGCAATGATCCCCACGACGTATGGGGAAGCTCGCGATATGGCATCTCGTCGCTTGACTATCCGGCGCAGTGCCCTAGCAAATGCCCCGTTTTGAAGCGCCTCCCGTGTCTCCAGGGAAGCCGGTACCTTGCTCTAGCCAAAGATGTCAGTTGTTGTTTTATCCCGCGAGATTTTCTGGTATGATCTCTCAAGGGTCGATACTCACGGTTACGACTCGCATGCAGAAGCGGTCTTCACGTATGAGATATTCAAAGTGTTTACTACATAATGACCAGTTGAAAATATCTTCGATCTCTAGGTCGTCTGCAATATACAAGACTAGTTCGTAGGGAAGTTGCTGTAACCCTGGAGGCTCGGATAAAGTCATTTGATCTGACCGTCACTTGGCCAGGGACAACACCCTCCAGAGTCGAATGAATAACAAGTATTAGCGACCTCATTGGCACGGAAGTAGTTTAACTTCTAGTAAAGGTTGAATCCACTGCTCAATATGCAAGCGTCTTAAATACCTAGGTGGGAAGAGCAAGACACTCCCTGATTACGGCTGTTCCCACTTACTTCTCTTGACTTCTCTCGAAACTGATAGGTACCCGCGCCACGAGGAAGCTGCTCTGAATGAGGCTACATTGGCTTACAACAGCCCTTGTTAGCATCGGAGAAGGGCTTGAGCCTCAAATTGTACTAACCGACCTATGAGAATCAATTAATTAAACCCTTTCAATTGATTCCATTCTGGACCCCCCGCTAAAGGTAGCCTGCATAAATATCATCAGTCCTCCGATCCCTCCATCTACTACTATAAGTATAGATTTGCCTACAACTCTAGTAGTAGTGTTATCGTCTGCATATGGTTTGAATGTCACTTGCCCCCAATAGGCACACAAATTCAAGGCCCCCAACTTACAAGTTCCACATCAAAGAAAATATGGATAAGTCACAAGACACAATTACGGTTGATACTTTCTTTGCCAATCTCGCAGCTGCGATTCCCCTCACTTTGCAACCCCCTCAATATACAAGGCAAGGCTGCGCTGCGCAGTACAGTACAATAGCGCCACCGTTCTGAATGGGGCCCTACTAATTTGGTTGGATGCGGCTCTGCTGTCGCATCGCAACTGAGAGCGGAGGTGGTCTAGACAC